TAAAAAATATTCTACAAATATGTTGTTATTTTTTTATTTATGTATTAAGAAGAATGTTTGTGTGTTATTTAATGCACAAGTTCTTAAAATATTTTATATCTAATTTCACTACTATTAGATTTAATATTTATGTACAAAATTTAAGATAATTTTTTTTATAAAATTCAGTCAAGAAGCATACAAACACTTAAAATTTTTTTATTTTATTAAGTATAAATCATCAAAATTAGATCAAAATTTAAACTAAAATCTTTAACAAAAACTATAATAAAATTTTATAAAACTATGTCAACTATAAAAGTTCGTACTTTTAATTGTTTGTATTAAAAAAATTGACTCAAATGATTTGGGTGTTGGGTAGTTATCGGGCGGCCCTCCCTTCAAATGTCTCCCTAAGGGTTGTAGTGGCCTTATGGTGGTCTGGGCTACATGTGTTCTTAGTGACAGTCATTTTTTTTAAGTAGGAAACTTCAAGTCGTTCACATTGAACACTTCCCATCGTTCTCAAAATCATTAGTAGTTATTTTAAATTTTTATGTAATAAAAACTTACCCTTGTTCCAAAAATTATAAGTAGTTATTTTAAATTTTTATGTAATAAAAACTTACCCTTTGATCTATGTTTGAGAAATATGTTTCTTAGTAGTTTTATTAACTTACAACAGAAGTAGAAGAATCATTAGTTATTTTAAATTTTTATAATAAAAAACTTACCCTTTTATCTATGTTTGAGAAATATGTTTCTTAGTAGTTTATTAACTTACCCTTTCATCTATGTTTAAGAAATAAGTTTTTTTTAGTATTTTATTGTCACGAAATCCATATGAAATACATGATTTGCCGCTTTATTTTAATTGAGAAATTTGTTTTCGATCACTTTCAATCACTTGCATCAAAGAGAGAATTTGTGTTCGATTATTTTCAATCACTTGCATCAAAGAGGAATTATGTTATTGCTTCATTTTGCATTTGTTCTCAATTGTACTTAATCGGATTTATTGACGTAAACCATACTTTCCAGAAAACATCATAATATATGTCCCGAAGTTCCAGCTTGAGAACGGGCATTTCAGTAATCGATAAATTAAATAAATACGTCCAGTAATTTTATTTGTTTATATTAGAAAAATGAGTCACAAACCACGTGTCAAATAATTAAATAATGGGTGTTTGGTAATTAATAAACTAAATAAATAAATATATATATTAGGTGAGGTAGTTATTATTAATATAAATATGAACACGTGTCAAAAGAATGTGAGGACTTTCCAAAAATAGTAAGAGTAATATATCTCGTGCTTTTAATTGTCTGTATTAAAAAAAATGAGTCACAACTTATTAACACGTGTCAAACAATTAAATAATGGATGTTTGGTAGTTATAGATAAACTAAATAAATATTAGCTGAGGTAGTTAATATTAATATAATCTAGTACAGTTGCCCGTGCAAATGCACGGGAGCTACGAAACAAAAAAAATATTAAAAGAACATTTGCAATTCATATGCATAACGATTAAATATTATTGAACACTTCCTTATATACAACGTTCTTCGTCTTTGAGGTATCTTTATTATCACAAATTAATATTTTGAATCATTTCTCATTTGTAACCCGTGAAATAGCGACATAAAGTTGGCAATGCGTAAATACAAATTTCTTCAGATATAATATTCATATAAATTACTCCTCAATAACTAAAATATATATACTATTTTTAATATGCATATGACATAATTACCGATTACAGAGTTATTGAGGTATAATATTCATATAAATTAATATCCAATAACTAAAATATATATTTTATGCTTTATATGCATATGATATATTTACCGATCAATAATGAGTCCTTACAAAAAGAATCTTTAGCCAAATTGGTAAAACTTTTAGAAGTTATACATAAACTTCAGGAAATGTTCATGTTGAAGTTCACCATAAAATATATCTTGAATGTTGCTATATTAGTTTTTTATCTGCCGCCATTTGGTGCTACAATTATAATGTGTGGATACCAATGACTCCAAAACATTTGAACAGAACTACATTAATCTTTTTTATTGAGAGATGAATTCTATATCCCTGAAAACCTTACAAACACAAATATTAGGAAATAAAATTAAATAAAATATGTATAATAACTATTTATAAACAAAAAAATGTCATAAAAAAATCACCTCGCAGTCTCGGTATTTCGACCTTGACCTCGGAGTCGTGGAATATCAATTCCCAGAAAACAGTATTTCAATCTTGAAAGTAGTCCTATCTTAACATCGCATCACATAGACTTTGATACCCATCCTATTTTCTATACCTTCTTTACTCGTGTGTAAACAATTGTGTGAAAAAGATGTGAATGTGATGGTAAAATAGTATTTTAATTTTGAAAGCAGTGTAACATCGCATCACACGAACTTTGATACTCCATCCTATTTTCTATACCTTCTTTACCCGTGTGTAAGCAATTGTTTGAAAAGGATGTGAAAGGGATGTGAATGTGATGGTAAAATAATGAATTGCGTATTTATAAACTACCAAATATATATCTTCTTAAATAAAAAATGTTGTCGTGAAAGGTAACGGTTCAAGCCACTAACAATGTAACTTCCAAACGTGTGTATTTTTAATAACTTCACTCTTAAGGTTTTATTGTATTTCTAATTAATTTCCATATGTTAGACGTGTTACTGCGTTGTGTTAATAATTTTTATAGCAAATAAAAATCGTATATTATTTTGGACTTTGTTAATATTTTTATAAAAATAAAAATGTTATATTATTTTGGACTTTTGTTTAGTGTTGTTAAATATGTTTGACTGATTTACGTATTAAAAAACAAATATTTTATGAACATACATAGATTTATACGTCTAAAATAATTCAATACCTACCATTTAACACTTAAATCATATTTTTATGTTATCCCGATATTACTAATAAATGCAAATATATTTACGAAATACTCTTTATATTATGTAATCTGATATTTATTACATATATTACATATATATGTATAATACTATTTGTTTATTGGATTAATTTAACCGTGATCATATGTTTTGGATTTTTCAACTTGTTGTAGAAAATGAATAAAAAAAATATTTACAAACATGATATTATTTATTCATTCATTTATTACGAATAATATTTGCGTGATTCATTTTAAAATATTGTTTTATCTAATTTCACTATTATTAGATTTAATTATGTTTAGAAATGAAATGAAAAATATTATACAAACATGTTGTTATTTATTTATTTATTATGAAGAATAATTGTGTGTTATTCATTGCGCATGTTTTAAAATATCTTATATCTAATTTCATTACTATTAGATTTAATATTTTTGTGCAAAATTTAAGATAAGATTTAATATTTATGTGCAAATTTTAAGATAAAAATTTTTATAAAATTCAGGCAAGAAGCATACGAACACTTATAATTATGTTAATTTATAAAGTATAAATTATAAAAATTAGATATATATTTTAAACTAAAATCTTTTATAAAAAATCTAATAAAATTTTATAAAAATACCTGTCAAGTACAAACGTTCAGTACTTTAATTGTTTTTATTAAAAAAATTAGTCACAATTGATAAACACGTGTCAAATCATTAAATAATGGGTATCGGGTTGTTACCGATAAATTAAATAAATATTAAATAATGTGTGTTGGGTAGTTATCGATAACCAAATAAATATTAAATAATGAGTGTTGGTAGTTATCGATAAACTAAATAAATATTATTTGAGGTAGTTAAAATTAATACAAATATGAACACTTGTCAAAAGAATGTGAAGGTTTTCCAAATATAGTAAAACTGTTGTAGGTCCCACATAAAACTTTCTAAAAATGGCAAGTGAGTTGCCTAATTATATAGTAGATATATATGAACACGTGTCAAAAGAATGTGAGGACTTCCCACAAATAATAAGAGTGTTGTAGGACCACATAAAACTTTCTATAAATGACAAGTGAGTTGTCTAATTATATTGTAGATAGACTCTTTTAATTTTTAAAATACATCTAAAAAATAATAATATTTATTCACTTTTAATTATTAATATACTAATATATTTATCAGAAATACATGTAAAAAATAATATAATTATATTGCATTGTTTATAGTTATAGAGTGTTAATTGTCTACCGATGTAATCGAGTTTATTTCGAAGTAGAACGAACGCCAACATTTCCCGAACAAGATGATCATAGTTATAGTATGTTACTTTAACAAGATGATCATAGTTAAAGTATGATCATCTTGTTCGAGGAATGTTGGCGTTCATTCTAATTCCCCACGCTCCACTCCTTTTCTTTCTCTCAACATACTTTAACTATGATTATCTTGTCCGGGAATGTTGGTGGTTGTTCTAATTCTCCACGCTTCACTCCTTTTCTTTCTCTCACTCTTTATTCCTTTTCTATTTGTCAGTTTTTTAAGAAACTCGTATTCACAATACTGGTTCAATCTTTTAAACCTTAAACATGCCACATATAATAGTTAAACATGTGAGGTTTGAGTTTATAAACCTCCATAAGCTTCCATTAAAGTTGCCCTAAGAACACGAAATCTGGGATGGTTTCAAGTACCTCCACTTTAGACAGCATCACAAAGGCCTAAATCCTACAAATGCGAAGTGGATATGATGTGATGGGAAATGTTATTAGACAACTCAAAAGTTGGGTGAAATGACTGTGATACGGCACAAGTACTTCACTATCACATGTTTCTGGTATTTGACAGAAAAATCTTTCTCTCAAAAACTTCAGCGTATCTCTCTTCGAATCCTTATTCAATATTCATTCTATCGAACTCCATAACCGAAAACAAAAGGAATAACAATAACAAATGATTAAGAAATTACATACATTAATAAATAAATAATGCAACAACCAATTCGGGCATCGCCCGTTGTTATTCTGTGGTGAGATTACAATTTAATGTCCCAGCACTAACTGTTCTCAAAACCAAGGGAAGAATTATGTATGTTTTCACTTAATTTATCAAAGGTACATCTACATTTGAGTCATCACTTGTTGTTAGCCTCTCCGTAAACCTGTAAAAATCTGCTGGCAAAGGAATATTAAGCTCCGAACAAACCAACTGCACCACCTTTGCGGTCACACCTCCCAAGTTCATTTTATTCAGAGTCACAGCAATAGCAAACCTGTTTTTTACATCACAGTACCCAGTCGACCCCCCCATGCCCGAGTGCCCGAACCCTATCAACTCACCATCGCCCGAATAAGACCTCTTGAACCCAAGCCCGAACTCCCGACCTGGAAGCGCCAAACTCTCGTACTCTCCACTCCCTGTAAATGCATCGTGAATGTTTCCATTATTAAAAATCTTATCATTTCTCGTGCCTTCGCCAAATCCGTCGATATTGCTGGTTGGGACTTCGGTGTAATTCTTTCCGTTGATCGAGCGGTCAGAATTGCGTGCATGTCTTTTGGATTTCTTTTCCTTTTTCTCAGGCTTTGGGGATGGGAATTTGGGGGTGTGGAGGTGGGTACCCAGCCTGGGCTGGGTTGAAGAGGAATGTGGAGGGGGGATCGTGCCCCGGTCAACGAGGGCAGCGTAGTAGCGGGCCAGGGCACGGGCTGAGCAGTGGGCATTGGCAGCGGGGATTATGGCCCGGCGGGCATTAAGCGTGTTGAACAAGGCAGGGAGGGTGGATGCCATCTGGGACACATTCTGGATTTGGGATTGGAAGGTAGATGGTAGGTCCCGCCGTGTGCTGAGGTCGGCAAGTTTCTTGATGTCGTCCATGTCAGACATGAGGGTCGCAAGCCGGGACTCGACACCTGGTGCAAATAATTTAAACACACAATTATGTGCTTAATCACACATTATATCAGTTCTGCCATGGAGCCATCGGGTAGCATGGCTTATGAAGTCCACAATTATTCCCAAACAGTGTATTGATATGTGTCCCTAAAATAAACACCACTTCTGACAGATGTCAAAACATCAAATCATAGATGGCTCCATAAGGGACTCATCTGCGGGCTTTATATAATTTCCGTATCGTATATATTCCCTCTAATAATATGTTCATAAGCAATAGGCATTTCCAAACCCCAACTGCCCCATGCACCCCACGTTTATTAAAACATTTCGGATTGCCCTTCAATTTGAACCTAAATCAAACATCGGGAATCTTTTGTTTACGTAGTTATAGGAGTTCCAAGGGCATGCTTGTTTACAAATTAACTCACTTACATTTAATTCATACTCAAAATCTAACTCAACTTTAACTCAACCCCATTATCCTTAATATTATTCATAT